TGATTATTTTAATGACCACGAATTGTTCCTGGTAATATGTAGCCATGTTAATGACTCTTCTGTTTGTTCAGCCTTGTCATAGTTAATTGGTTCAAGAATACTGGAGTTTCCATGTCTCTCTACATAAATCTATCACCTATCCTTATTCCTACATTCCTAAATTTGAACTTTAGATTACATTTTGGCAATTTAATTCTTTATATTTGTAACCTTGTGCGGGTGTCTCTGTAGTTTTTTTTTTGTGATGCTATTTGATCATAGCTTCCCCTTTTATGTCATTTACTCCTATAGATGCTATTAATTGCAGAATGATGACAATTCATTCATAAGATGAACAATGTTGGTCCTGCTTGCATCAAAACTAGAATTATTTCTAATCCAAGCTAAATAATTTTAACCATCCCATCTGATGATCATTTTTTTTACTTGAACCCAACTGCATTATTTCTTTGGTAGAACCCATCTCCATGATACCCAATCGTCTAATAATGAGGTAAAACGTATTCTGATTGATCAATTATGATTGAAGCTGAAACAGATGAATGATCCTAAGCAATAAATTGTACCTGTACAGTGAGAATTTTGCAAAAAAATGTTAAGAGCTTACTTCTTTATTTGAATTAATCTAATGCTAATGGAAACAAACTCAACGGAAGATAAGAGAATAGTGCAATAAGCAAAGTACAATATAAATTATAATATACTCATATAATGAGAATATTTCACTATGATCATTTGCTACAAATTTCTAATAAATATTTACATAAATAATAATATCAATGTGGTGACAAAATAATTTAAATAAACCTTTACACTTTTTCATATACTCATGATGCTACAACAAGAATCATTGAGAGTTGTTAAAGTGCAAGATCAACATAGAGATCTTAAGGAAAAGCTTTTTAATATCATAAATCCGAGTTAATCGACACTAGAATGAGTTATTCTCCAAAATGCTAAGGATATTCTAGAGATTGATGTTGGACCAATGTTTTTTACAAGCGAAGGTGATGGAATAATTCATGAGAGACTAGATCTGCACGGGATCTTCATGAGGATTTCACGGGATAATCATAAGATTCTCAAGAGATCTTCAAGGGGTCTTTGAGACCGGAGAAGAAAATTGAAGAATTTAGTGAAGCAAAAAAATATCTATATTAGCAAGAGAAGAAGCACTACAAGTGCTAGCTACAAAATGATTCATAGTGAGGTCCGATCAAGAGAAGCGGAACACACAAGCGAGCGAGCAAAGGAATTGTATGCGAGCAGTAGCGCAGACATGTGAACAATCGAGGAATTTGGTACAAGTGCGAGCAAGCGATGGTATCTGCCCGAGTGAAGGCTTCACACAATAGAGCTAGTGAACGAAGGAATGTAGGCAATTGGGCCAAGCAAGCTAGCATAATTGAGCAATTAAACTAGGAAGCATTACACGAGAGAAAGATTGAGTTAAGTGTGAACAAGCTAAAGTACTTAAGCTTATGAGGGTAACATTTTGCATGATTTGCGTATAAAAGTAGTTTCCGGTGCGTACAAAGGACATGAAGCTGATAGATTGGAGATGATTTGTTGATGAAGAAGGCAAACAAGATCTTAACGGATCATCACATGAGTTGATAGCGAAGGCCTTGAGAGGTGGCTATAAATCTTTGACAGAATTTCCCGTTGCTTCGTTGTATACTAGTGGATTTTGTTTAATTCATTTTTCAAGAAGCATATTAGATAAAAGACGGTCATTGCGTAGAGATTTATAAAAAAATTATTTTCTAATCTAAGGCTAGTATGCAGCCATACTTAAGCTTTGCATTTAGTGTCAGTAATTTGGATTTGAAATAGATAATATACTGCTATTACACCGGTAATTTTTATTTTTTATAGTGTTGTGAGTGCTTAATTTTCAATATCTTTGTATATTTGACACACTTGCTTAAGTCTAAATTGACATTAGAGCTAAGGAACATAGTTCATGATAATGATCAATCAGACTTAGTAGTCAAGTTATGTTAAACTTTTTCATTTTTGCAAAATTCAGCTTAGTGTGTGACAAAAATAGGATTGATGTTTTCTTTTGAGATCAAGAGCTCCAATATAAATGGGATTTAGGTTCAACTTCGGATTTTTGGCGTGCTGAAAAAGGAACGCAGTGTAAAAGAAATATAGTGTAATTAAATGATAGTGTATTTAAAATACTTTAAAATTGTTTGATTTAATGTGAATTAAATGTAGGAATTTATATTTTTATCTTTGGTTTGGAGAAAAATGATATCAATATAAAATATGTCGGTCGAGAGCGATGCCAACATACTTTAAAATACTTTAAAGTTGTTTGATTTAATGTGACTGATGGCTGTGACGCTTGCGGGGGGGCGGCAAGTGGCAATCAGCGGCCAGCTGTGGCGATAGCTGAGCGGGCAACTGCAACAGGTGGCGGCGGGCCGAATCGGTGGGCGCTTAGGTATCGATAATAGAATGCAGCTGTTAATGTATTTGAAAATTGCCCAAATTTAATGAATTTTAAATACAACAGTTTTTGAACTACATGGTGAATTTTAAATTCATCAAAATATTACCCTGCATTCCATCTTCATTCAACCAAACAGCTCCTACTCAATCACTCGTTGTTGTATTTATTATTATTATTATTATTATTTTATCATTTCTAAATAACCAAATGTGTCGTATTAATAGAAAATTACCTTAATTTGCATACATCTTTATAATATCCTCTCATCTTCTCTTGTCCAACTCTGCAGTGATGATTCTGACGACAGTGAAGATGAAGCAATGAATCCATGAAAGAAAAAGAAACACAGCTGTTCGCAAACAAGTAAATTATTAGCACGAATTTTGACGCATACAAAAAAAAAAAGCATTTTTGGCTATGATAGTGCTGCAGCTTTGCTCCTGTAATTATCATTTTTTTCTTTTTTGTTCTGAGAAAATAATTTTGCAGCTGAGGACTCATTTGTATTTATCAGTAAAATTTTGAAGATATATTTTTCTTAATAAAATTTAAGGGCGCATCGCTTGCTCTTACTTGGGCTTTGTCATGAAGATTTTCAACAGCCATTTCACGCAATGTATGTGAAAATATGAAAGAAATATTTGCATACATACCCCTCAATTCCTATGTATTTCAGATGTCTAACACCAAAGTTACAATTTTTACATATCACGCCGCCTTATTCATGCACGAAAAAGGTGTATTTTCAGTTTTATGTATGTGAATGCCTCGATATGAAATTGTCTTCAAGCTCAAACATTTGTTCTGGCGTTTATTTAGCAATGAAGCATGTCTGGATTTCTTCATCTGCATGTCAGAAGCCTGCATGTTTCAGCACAAATTTATAAGAGAGTTTATAGACAAGAGAGACAGAGAGAGAGAGATGACATATCATTTTAAAAGAAATGAAACAAAAATAAATAAATTTCATACTGTTTATTAATAAGCTTTTAAACATTATACAATTCAAACCAGGAGCTATTAATTCATTTAAGCTTAGAAAGTATAAAAATTATTTAAAACATAAGTTCTAATTTGAGTTTGGGTTATTGAACAAAATAGCTAAATTTTAAAAGGTGGCAAAAATTGAAGCTGCATGCCAAATTATCCAAATATTATTATTATTATTATAAATAAACAATATATAAATAAATAAATGCATTTCTTTAATCAAAATATGAAAGGCATATAATGCTAAAGTAATTAGCTAAATGAGAAACTAGTTACAATAAAAATAAAGTAGAATGATGAGTATTAGATAATGAATGTTTTTCAATTGAAAATAAAAAAAATACTGAAATAACTTTTTGATAAAATAATAGATAAAATTATAGAACATTAGGAATAAAAAGTTCACTTAATAATTGATGTGTGTTGGAAAATTTGCGGCGGTAGAGTAATGGATTATCGGCTTAGCGTTGTGTGGGGATTCAATGCACACTCAGATGAAAATGAATCAACGTGTGATGACACCAAAAGTTTTTACGTGGAAAATTCGTAAAGCGAAAAAACCATGGGGTCTGGTCTAGTTATAAAAATTTATTATAAGTTGATGATTATAAATGTCCCTTATCTCAAAGACGGGAAATTGTTACTAGATTTTTCAAGGTACAATGTCAACTGACGATGCTTAGTTAGAAGTGATCGACGGAGGTCGGCGGCGGTGGTCGATGGTAGTCAACGACGATAGATAACGATCAGTGGTGGTCGGCGGTGGTCGCAGACGGTCGGTGGTCAACGGTGGCAGAGACAGTGTTAGACTTAAACTCTTTCTCAAAGCCTCAAGTTCTCTCTCAAGCCTCCCTCTCATGTGAGGGGTGGTGCTTTATTTATAATGTTCTGGTGCAATTAATGCAGGAATATGAACTATTTTGATTAGATGGTCTGAAGAGCTTTACTCGATTGGATGACGTTTAATGGGCATTTTAGTGCCTTAATTATGTCGGAACTGAGCAATTTTGGCCTTGTTGGATTTGTCTTGTCTAGACGCTCGATTCGCTGAATTTGACATTCGTTTGATTTTTCAATGTGTCCGGAAATCTTTCAAGAATAATTTAATCACTTGATCTGGGCTTGATTTCACTCGGATTGGACTGATTTTGATATCATTAGGTCCATCTCATCGAGCCGGTCAGTTTGACTATAAGTTTGTTGAAATCGGAGTTCTGGATGACTTTTAATTGAAGTTTGAATGTTTCTTTGAATGTTTCTTCTTAATCAAAAGGTTGCCTCGTAATTCGTGTCGTGTCACTAGATTCTCATTTATAATGATAAAAGCATAAATTATGCAAAATAAATAATTCAACTCATAAAGTATTATAATAGTTCATTCAAATTGAGTTGAGAATAATAATAATAATAAATGTAATAATTATATATAACTAGAGATAAATCAAATTATTGTAAAATAAAAGAATTAATGATAATATAAATTTTTAATAAAATAAAAAACTAAGCAAAGCAATCTTCATAAGAATGCCCTATATATACATGGAAGCTTAACGATTTACAGTCCCCATTCAAACATCAAACTCGAATCCGACAGCTCAATCCCACCATTCACCCAAACCTCCCAACCCCCACCCTACGTTCCATATCATGTTCCGAAAACGCCTCTTCTCCTCGCCGGAAAACCCTCTCCTCCACCCATCTTCTCCTCTAAACCCTAATCCTAATCTCCCCCTCACCAGAAAAACCACCACTCTTCCTCTCTCCCAGTACTGTATCGCTTCGACATTACACTCGCCGAAAATGGGCTGCGCGACTTCCCGATTGGAATCAGGCGAGGAAATCCCTTCGGGGCTCGTGCCTTTCATGCGGCGGCTACAGGATTTGAGGCGGACGAAGACGGATGTGTCGCGGCATGGCCGGAGAGAGCGGAAGGATAGCATCGTTTCGACGACGGAGCTCCTCCGTCCTGAGGAGCGCGACATTGATTACTACGATACGGCTGCAATGGAGGCTGCTGTAGAGAAGGATGAGAGTAATGGAAAGAGAAGTGAGACGACGGCTTTATTGGAGATTGTGAAGGAGGAGGAGGAGAAATCAGAGGCGGCGGAGGAGAGGAGAATAGGGTTTGGGAGAGAATCGCCGGCCGACGAGGAGCTGCCCGGTTCGCCGAGTTTCCGGTTTTATTGTACCGATCCGGTCCAGCGAGTGGATACCAATGTTGGTTCGGTCCCGTCACCGAGTTCAGGTTTTTATGCCTTGTTATTCTTGTAAATACGAAAGATTTGGGTGATATAAATATAAAAAATAAAGTTTAAGCGGTAGATAAATAAATACAGAATTATGCGGTATGTATATATAAATACCTCTTTTTTATGCTAATTATTTCTTATTTAATGGTTTATAGATTCATTAAAGCGTATTGAAGAAAAGGAACTGTTGGAAGAAAAGGAATTGTTGGAGGAAAAGGAAGACCCCAATGAGTGTTTGGTTGCTGCAGAGGTATTTTCTCTCATACATTAGCCATTTGATAATTTTAATTCATATACTAGTGAAGTATCAAAATAGTCCCTCATTTTTTAAATGAGCCTATTTTAATCCCATAATTTATAAAAATATCAAAATAATCCCCAGACGTTTTAATTCGGAGAAATTTTTCCATACGGAGTGTGCTACACCGGACCCGCCTCATAAATACAGCGTGCGCTACACCAGGCCCACTTCATAAGCACCGTGTGGTGAACCGCTTCAATAACTTCCGTGGTTTCACTTCAATAAACCTTGCAAAATAACTTAAATAAGTCCTCAAAAATGCCGCAATAACCCTTCAATAACACCGTACGAAGAACCGATCCAAAAATGTCGTTATCCCGCTTCAATAACCCCTGCAAAACAATTTCAATAACCGCTTCAATAACACCGTAATAACCTCCAATAACACGGCGCGATGAACC